GGGCGCGCTTCTCCCTTAGGTGCATCCATCGGCGCAACTGCGGCACCCCCCCCCCAGGATGTTTCGAAGTAATGATGATTCTGGCATGGCAACCTGCAACAGCACCCTGCGCAACTCTGCAGCACCCTGCGCAGCTCTGAGTCTCGTCCTGCCTTCCTTCCTTCCTTCCTTCCTTCCTTCCTTCCTTCCTTCCTTCCTTCCTTCCTTCCTTCCTTCCTTCCTTTGCTTCCTTTGCTTCTTTTGCTTCTTTTGCTTCCTTTGCTTCCTTTGCTTCCTTTGCTTCCTTTGCTTCCTTTGCGTCTTTTGCTTCCTTTGCTTCCTTTGCTTCCTTTGCTTCCTTTGCTTCCTTTGCTTCCTTTGCTTCCCTTGCTTCCCTTGCTTCCCTTGCTTCCTTGCTTCCTTGCTTCCTTGCTTCCTTGCTTCCTTGCTTCCTTGCTTCCTTGCTTCCTTGCTTCCTTGCTTCCTTGCTTCCTTGCTTCCTTGCTTCCTTGCTTCCTTGCTTCCTTGCTTCCTTGCTTCTTTGCTTCCTTGCTTCCTTGCTTCCTTGCTTCCTTGCTTCCTTGCTTCCTTGCTTCCTTGCTTCCTTGCTTCCTTGCTTCATTGCTTCCTTGCTTCCTTGCTTCCTTGCTTCCTTGCTTCCTTGCTTCCTTGCTTCCTTGCTTCCTTGCTTCCTTGCTTCCTTGCTTCCTTGCTTCCTTGCTTCCTTCCTTCCTTCCTTCCTTCCTTCCTTCCTTCCTTCCTTCCTTCCTTCCTTCCTTTCCTTTGCTTCCTTGGCTTCCTTCGCTTCCTTCGCTTCCGTGCTTCCTTCCGTCCTTCCTTCCAATGCCCATGTAAAGCTATTTTGATGCCAAGCCTTATTTCAAAGACCTTGAACAATCCGACTGCCAGACTAGTTGGAGTGCTAACTGTTGGGCCTCAACCACGGCTTGGGAAAAAACGCTGCGCAAGCGCCCAAACAGTTAGCACTCAACGTTGCAATGCCGTGTGCTAACTGATTGATACCCACTATAAACGTAGTCTTCGGGGAGCCGGTGTCGCAAAACAGGGGTCCCAGGCTCGATTCCCCCTGCCGGCTTTTTTGCTGGCTTGGCCTTCCTGCATCCTTTTGCCGAAAATCTGGCAAAACTCTGTGTTTTTGGACATCCTCTTTGCGAAAACGCTGGAAAAACCGTGTTGTTTGCGGGAAAAACTGGGGAGCAAAGGGGAAGTGCAAGGATACATACATACATACAGACAGACAGACAGACAGACATACAGACATACATACATTACATTACATTACACAACACTACATTATATTACATTATAATAGTTTACATTACATTACAGTACATTACATTACATTACATACATTTACATAATGTTAACATTACATCATACATTTACCTACTACATACATGCATGGGCATGCATTGCATTACATACTACGCATTACATTATGTTACAACATTTACATACATACATACATACATACATACATACATACATACATACATACATACATACATACATACCTACATTACATACATTACATACATACATACATACATACATACATACATACATACATACATACATACATACATACATACATACATACATACATACATACATACATACATACATACATACATACATACATACATTACATTACATTACATTACTTTACATTACATTACATTACATTACATTACATTACATTACATTACATTACATTACATTACATTACATACATACATACATACATTACCATCGCATTCGTGTACCGTTACGTTTTACGTTCCGTTACGTACCATA